GAACTACTTTGCCGCAAACCACAAAACGCGCAAAACCATCATTTAAATAGGGCGTCTCCAACAGTTTTGCACCTGCCACCAGTTACGCAATCGCTCTTGTTAAATCACCCGCAAACCATGGTTCAGCCCCTCGCGCAGAATTCCAGTTTGCGAGCGCAAATTACTGCACGGAAAATTGGATCTTGATAAATCCGGCCCTTAGTGTACAAAGCCTTACAGTGCATAAAGAAAATGATCGGCAGGCACTTCTGTATAATTAAACATCTTAATTCAGTAGTTTACTGTTTTGAGTTACCAATTTTTTTGTTTTTATGAGCTAAAGAATCAGTCAAAATGCTAAATGCATCTCTATGAGTTTGACATTTCTAGAGCTGGAACTAAAAATTACTTTGCAAATGAATTAATCTGTTGATAAGTTTTTTTGGATTAAATCGATTAATAATTGGATAGCCAAAGATTCTTTAAAGAAGACTTTATGAAATTAAAACCAGGTAAATCTCAAACTTTTCCATTGAGGAGTTCTGGATAAATAACAAAAATTTTTTCTATCTTAAATGCAAAATGTTTTTACAATTTTGATATAATTACTACTGTGAGTGGGTCGCTCTGTCAGCTAAAGGCATGTTTTTCCGTCTCCATACTTAAGTTAACAATTGATTACTAAATTAGTTGACGATTATTTCAATAATTAATATGATTAATTGTTTGAGCCCTACACATGTTAAACTGAAAAACTGAAGGAAATTAGTTTTTCATAATGTTCTATTTTATTGCCATGTACGTGTAAAAACGGCCAGAACTTTATGGACAAATCTAAAATGCTCAAATATCTCCATCCTTAAAACAAAAACAACAAAAAAATGTTTTTCCTTTTTGTAAGAAGAACTTCATTCACCCCCTTACCTTTAATGGAGATCTCCTTGCCCTGAAAGTTGTGCATGTATCTCAGTAAAACCTCCTTCCAGTAGCTGCGATAACTGATGAGCCCCAGGTCAGACAAAGGCCTCTCTGGTGAGCCCACCTTCTCCTCAACTTTGGACAGCAGGTAACCTTAACAGCAAAAACAGTCAGAACCAAAACAAAATAAATGTATAAAACTTTAACATGGTTCAGATGATCTATTTCATCAATAAAGACAATCACCTAACTGATAGATAGAACTCCATCACTCTATCAAATATAAACTTTAAAGGTTGATGTACGTACTAAAATCAATGAGCATCTTGCCAAACCCCTGCCTCATGTACTGCGGCATTGTCAGGATACAAGACACATTGTAGTTCAGGAAGGAATTCTTTTCCTATGGAAAAAAAAAAGAAAATACTTTTGAAAACATGTCTAGACTAAGCTGAAAAAGTTACAGATCAAGGTTAACATTAGTTTACCATAAAATCTTTTATTTAAGAATAGTAATTGTGTCTTGCCTTAGAAAAATAACCAACTAGATGGCAGCCCGTGTTGTCGGCCTCGGTCATCACGTAGAAGAGAAATGGCTCCACGTCGTAATAAAGGGTCTTATGGTCCAAAAACAGCTTGGCAAGTAAACACAAGTTCTGGCAGTAAATCTGAAAAGACAAGAACAGTTTAATTTATAATCTTCCTACAGGGTTCTTACTAGTGCTGAGTGCTATAACTTTAGATCTTAGCAGTTTAACTGTATATAATGAAATAAATAAAACTATATTGATCTCACAATGGAGAAATTAACTCTCTGCATTTAATCCATCCCCTTTGGGGAGCAGTGGGCTGCCACCGTGGGGCGCCCGGGGAGCAATCGAGGGTTAAGGTTCTTGCTCACAGACTCAGAGTGGCAGTCTGTGGGAGTGGGTTTCAAACTCATAACCTCAGGATTCCAAGCTCTATCCCCTAACCACTAGGCTGCTACTCCCAGAGGTATCAAAGTATTTCTATTTATTTAACTTCCATCCATCCTTTTTTCCATCACGCTTCTCACAAGCGGCGTCGCGAGGGATGCTGGTGACTTTCTACTAGGGTTGTCAAAAGTATCGAAACTCAAAAAAGTATCGATACTGAAATGTTGTATCCGGATACAATACTCGTTTTTAAAAGTATCGATACAGTGCTATCACCAGTGGCACCTAAGCAGTCATTCATCTAAAGTGCAGAATAGAGGAAAATGCACTTTCAGAACACTGTGTGAATGAATAATTCTACGCTCTTTTCAGTTTCAGACTTTTTTTTTGTAAGAGGTGCAGCTGCTGAGAATTATTTTTGTTTCTTAACTGGTTTGGCTAGTGTCATTGTTATGTGTGCGAAGCATAGCCAAGGAAGGAACACTTTATTTTAATTTAATAAGTTTTTTTATCAAACTTGCTTAATATTGTGCACAGCATACAACCTTTATTGTATTTTATTTATTAATGAAAATATTTCTGTAGAATTTTGGAGTTTTTGTTTTTATCCTGGTATTGAAAATGGTATCGAGTATCGAATATTTTCCTTAGTATCGGTATCAAGTTGAAAAGTTTAGTATCGTGACAACCCTACTTTCTACAACTGTCTGTCTACGGGCAAATTTTTTTTGACAGAATGACAGAGGCTGCAGCTTAGCAGTGAAAAAGAAAAATAAAGTGCAGCAGTGATCAAAATGTAAATAGTGTGGGAGAGACATGGTGCAAAAAGGCATTGACGTGGAAGGTTCAGAGAAGTGCAAAATGCATAAATAGATATGGTGCAAAATGTTGTAAAAAAAGATCGGAGTTGAGTTCCATTTTGAAGACTTCCCATTTGGTGCAAGTATGATGTTATCAGTGTGATGCAGAGTCTGGATTTGTGACTCGATTTAGAGTTTTTCAACAGTTCAACAGTCTGATGGCAGTGGGGGAAATGATGTTACAGAACCTGCTACTGCTCAAAGCTTTTCCTTTGTTTTGGTTCATATATTCAGAAAAAATTAATGACAATTTTTATTCATAAAAATCTGATCTTTGTAGAGCAAAGGGGGGGTGATCTTACTAATAGTGATGGCGAAGCTCGTTAGTGGATCTTCTCCCTCAGATTTTAAAAACTTCCTCTTATTCATCTTTGGGCATGCAGATATTTTCAATATTTTCAATAGTTATATTCTACAACCAGTGAGCAGAGGTTGTGCAGAATGACGTTTGTTTACCGCCACCCAGTGCCAGTGTTCTGAGACACCATAAATGCTATTAATAAGTAGAATTCCTGCCTATTTGTTCTGTGCAGTGAACAATATGCAAACTGGGCTGAGGGTTAATGAAGGAGGCTCTCCTCACAGTCCCAGCTGACTATTCTAACCTCTAGGAGATTTCTTGGGAAACTTTTTAAATATGTAATAAATTCTGACAGTACTACTTTAATCTGAGTGTTATGGGTGTCAATTATAATATAGGAAATGACAGAAGGATAAATGGAAGGACAGACAGAAATAAATTGCAGTTTGAGTTTCTCTACCTTATTTTTTTTGCCGTCTACTTCAAACACGGATATAGATCCCTTCCTGTAGACTTCATCTCCTGGTGGATGTTTCCACACACATTTGGCCTGAAGATATATGGAAGATGAAAACCATCAGAACCATTATTTAGAAAAAAAACTTCTCAACAAGAGTCAGTATATAAAATGCATTCAAAAAATGTAGTTGAGCTTTAGCAGCAAATGTCTTGGAACTGAGCAGCCTGACATTGGAGTATCTGTGGTCTTAAGTCTCACCATGTGTCGTCTGAGGATGGTCTGACTCTTCATGTACTTCAGGCAGAATTCACAGACGTACAAGCGACCAAGACGAGCGTACTCCTCAGGATAGGGCGAATGGTACCAGGTGTCCAGCTCAAAACGGCCAAAAACTATAGTCTTGATCATGTTGCTGCCCTCGGTGATCTGACCCTGGATACGCAGCTTTTCCTGAAATGGCAAACACCAGAGAAGACAGATCTGTTAAAGGCACAACAATCTAGTCTTGGACTGAAAAGTTTGTTCTTGGAATGTAGGATCAGGACTGAATTAAAGTAGTGACTTCACCAGGTCCTCAGATGCGCGAGCCTGAGCTTTTCTGAAGAGCTCCAGGTCGTAATCGCTGGTGATGTTCTCAAGCAGAGGCTCTCTGGTGTTGGCGTAGGTCTGCCGATGCTCCTGTGGACGCAACAGGAAGTTAAACAGACAGCTAGATGCCGCGCCAACGATGTGTTGTGCTGTTGATTATCTACCATGTGCTTTTCCTTCTGCTCCTTCTGTAGGCCAGAGTTCCTTCCCTTCCTCATCTCAGCAACCTGCTCCTTGTATCTACTCTGTTTTGGAGTTGGCGTCTAGAGACAAAGACAAACACAAACAAATTACTTTCCTGCAGGAATGAGAACCGTCTTGTGACAAGAACTGCAATGAATAAAAAAAAAAACTTAAAATATGACACAAGTGCTGAGGTTAAATCATTTAAACTACCTGGTGGCGAGTTGCATGGCGTGAATTGCCTTCATCCTGCGTCTTCAATTCCTCATCTTGTTTCTCACGGCTAACAGCTTTCACCTGACAGAGGAAGAAATAAAGAATTTACTCACATATTGTTTCTGAATTAAGACCTTTTCAAGGCCGAATAACGCTCTACTGTGTTCAGTTAAACCAGCAATCCTATTTAAACTGCTCTTAAATCAGCAGGTTGGAGGTTAACCTTACCTTGCACTCATCAGCAGAGAGATTGTGGTAAAGAGGACACCCTGATATAGCGAAATGGCGCTCATGTTTCCCAGTGAGGTGGCCTGCACAGTTTAAGATAAAAGGTCATTATTAGAGTCAAACTTAGAATTACTGATACAGAAATTATTTTAATAAGTGTTTTACAAAAAATGCACAACTGTCCAATTTTTGTGATCACTCTGAAAGATGCATTAAAAAGCTGGAGATAATGTTACTGCAATAGCAATAAGACAGCAAAAATCTGACATAACTTTTCATTTTGATAAGTTGATCTAGTCTTAATCAAAATCAACTATTCAGAAATAAATGTACAAAAGATCTCCGACAACCCCACCCAAAAGCATAACAGTTAATATTCCTGCTTTATAAGTTAGTTAATGTATCTAAACATTTAATTAATAAACCACCAGAAAAACATCCTGTTTTTTTATGCCGTTACAAATATGGAAAATTTTAGAAAACTCACTTTTAATTTATTTGTATGATGGAGCACAAACATAGTTTTAAAATAAATAAAAAAATTCAATGTTATTCAATCATGAAGAGATTCAGTTCAAATCCGTACATCCCAAATAATCTAGTCATCAAATTATTCAGTCTGGTTCAAATTATTGTTCATCCTGGATAAAAAAAAAAAAAACTGTTATCCAAGAAAATCCAGCTGACGCAGAAGTGACCCTGAGACCCTTTTTATTTGCCCCTTTCAGTCCATCCAAATATTTCACCTTAACAAAAATGTAAAGAGGTGATGTGACCTTTTTTTTTAGTCTGGCATCTACTCATGTTCTCTCTGCCTTGCAATCAACAGAACTTTAATCAAACAGAGCATTTGCCGACCCTAAGCTCTGATTCACCTCATGAGTCAATAACCGTATGACCAAATCACCAGAAAATCAGCCCTCTTCCATGATCATCTAAGGCTGGGCTAACACTGTACGCCCAGCCTTAGACCCCAAATCCTACAGAAAGCAGTTGGAGGAAAGTTGAAGAGAACATTGCAGATCTCTGGCATTCTTTCATATGCTTACTAGGGATGGCAATAAACATGCAGAGTGTTATATAGTTTGGCTTGACAAGCTTAATAGAAAAAGATGCATCAGGGCTGAAATCGTACCAAGGGAATTACACCCGGGGGTTGGGCATTTCATGTTGAAGTTGTATGTTTCATGACAGCGCCGGCGCTTGGGACGATGGGACAGATCCTTATCCGAGTCTCTGCTAGGCTGATCTTTGGACTGGCTCTCATCATGGGAGGCATTGGGGCTGGAAATATCCAGCTCTGACTCAGAGGAGGGAGCATTCCCAGTGGGTGTGAGTGGTGGAGATTCATCCTGGTCCGCAGCACGCTTCAAATCCGGAGTATCTGAAGAAAGAGGGGCAAAAAAGACCAATCCTTGCTTCAGTGATGCAGCAAAGACTTAGAAAGACGACATATTTCTTCTTGATAAATAATAACCAACCCTGAGAGCTCTGGCTGAGGCGAGTAGAAGCTCTGGTGAGGCGTTGTCTCTTAGGCATGTTTCCATCGCTCTCCGAACTGTTGGTCTGTTCTCTTTCAGCTGAAGAATCAGAGTCTTCAGTTCCATCAGAGACACTCCCAGTTAAAGGCCTCTGTGAAGAGAAAAAAACTTAAATCAGGCCCAATGGAAACCACAGGACTCAATATAATGTTTGGTCTAAAAAATAAAAAATCAATGCCATGTCTCTGCTCCTTCAGCTATGATATATTATTTATGAAAACACTCAGTATATCTGAAGCTGTCACTAGACTGTCAGCTGATTTAATGAATGTGTTACTGGCTTTCCCTCCCCTTAGAAAAAGATTGAATTATTATTTGTTTTATTATATCATTTGTCGTATTCCCGGTTCATATTTTAAAGAAATTCTCTTGAAAATGGGATTGCAATTGTAGAGCGATTTTGGGTACAAAATAGCATATTTGTATGTATTTGGCAGAAGCTTTTGTCGAAATTGACTTTCAAATAAGGGCAAACCAATACAGCAAGTATTCTACTAAGAAGGAAATCAACAACTCAGGTGTGTCAGAGATGAAGCGGCTGATGGTGAAGAAAGAGCAGGAGTACAGATGAAGAAGTAAACTTTATGAAGAAGTGCTGCTTCAGAAAGCATCTTAAGTTTTCTTTTTTTTAAATCTAAATAACTTGGCTAAAAAAAAAAAGGTTTAAAGTCTACATGCAGTAAGATCATGAAGCAGGTAATTTAACAATATCAGCAAATAAGCAGATTGTGAATTAAGTGAATAAATGCCAATCATTCTTTAATATCTTCATCAAAAAGATATTCTATGTACTGCAGAATGTACATAGTGAATCATTTATTTGTTTTTTGCACAAAACTGAGACAAAAATCTGGACTAAATCAGGAAATAAAACAACAGTATTAGTGTTAAGGAGAGTGGAGACAGAGTTCAGTGAGTAAAACCTGCTTCCAACCTCTAGGCTGGCTCTGGGGAGACTGTTACTATGGTAACAGAAACAGAGGTTGAGTAAAATATCTTTATGAAACAGAGAGTCAGAGATGAACTGATTTCAGCTTTAGAAAACTAAGCATGCTTTGTGAAACGGACACTTAGTCACTATGTTATGTCTCAGAGATGAACCACTATACCCCGTTTAGTAGCAATGGGATAAAATAATGCTTTTTAAACAAACTATTTTACCCATAACTAAACAAATGTTAAAATCACTTAAATTTTAATGCAGTAAGTCCTACTAATTTAACAGTGGAAGCAGTTTTAAAGTTTTGCGGCACAATCTTTCATTATTTTCAATTAGCAGTTAGCTATGTTGTGACGGATTGCACTAACAAATCCTGTACTTTTAATTTTACCCTTCGCAAACACAAAATTACTAGTGATCAATTAAACAGGATGGTAATTATCATGCGGTTTATAGTCCCGAAAGATAATCGGGATACATCTGATCCAGATATTTGGCTGTGGTAGGAAAATAGCAAGCTCTACATGTTACATGTTTATCTGCTTTTTACGTCCAGAGGGTAACCTGTCGGCTTTGGTTGAAAACCTTGTAGAAAGCCGAACATGACCATGGTAATGCGAATTAAATGAATACTTAAACGCTGTGTGGTAAAATAAGTAGCAAGTTCTTGCCTGTGCACAGTAAAACCCAATCTCACTAGAGAAAATATCGTGGAAGCTTCTAGCTCCTCGCTTAGAGAATAGAGCACTGCGATGCTAACCCAGCTAAAGCTAACCGTGCTTAGCATACGGCTTTACTCGTTTTCTTACCTGTCGTGTGCGCGGCATGTCTTCTTTGATTAGCGCTGTTTTGACGGGGGTTGTTGTAACAAGCACAGTTCCCTTATTTTTTAACGACAGAACACGGGACAGGAGACTCTATTCTATGATAATTGTAATGAATTTGTGTTTGCCCGGGTAGTCTGGCGCCACATTCCTACTCAGACAGAAGGGGGAATTGCATTTCCGGTGACGTAAGCACGTTTCCTGCTTTTCTACAAGTACACAACATACACAAAACCAAATTTACCAAATGTTTAAAAATGATTAAAAAAAATTACTTCAATTGTATCCAAAGAATCAACAATAAAAAATGTAAACACACTGTTAACGTATTTCACTAAATATTTGAAGGAATTTAATATATCTCGCCTTTTTTGTTTGTTTTATTTTGTTTGTTGTTGTTGTGTTTATATCTCTTCTGTTATGTATTTAAGTTAAAGTATATTATATCTTAATTGTAATTGTACTCCATCATTTAACACTTATTTTGGAGATACTGTTCTATATCTTGTGATATTTTTTGTCAATGTTTTGTAATTTGTAACTTTTCAATAAAGTTTTGGATAAAAAAAAAAAAGTACACGGGGGGGGGGGGGGTGTCATATGTTAAAATAATCTGTAAAATCTTTTTTATTTTGAGACACATTCTAAATCTAACAAATGACAGAAGGGAGATCAACGTTTCTGGATTTGAAATGTACCAACATTAAAGCTTCTAATGATTTGACTTCTTAGTTTCTTAGCTAAAAAATGTCTGTGGCAAATTCAGACCTGGGCCTCAATAATCCAATGTAATGATAAGTTTTATTGCTTTATTAATGGTTTTTAATTGAATTTGCATGTACCTAGAAGAGTAAAATATTTTTGCAGGATTATGAAATAACAAATTCATTGTTTTTTGCCTTAGTTACAGCTTTTATGTCAAAGTTTGTTCAAAGCTTTTGATTTCCTAACAGATTTATATTGAATGGGTTCATTCCCCTTGAACTTTCTCTCATTTGTCTCTTTCCAACCAAAGAGCTTGAAAAAGAAAAAATAATTCTCAAGTGAAAGAACATAGCAGTAAAAAAAAAAAAAAGAAAATCATTGTAAACATTTAGACTTCTCTTAGTCAACACTTTATGCGGCAACCTGCTGTTTGATGTGGGGTTTATTTGTAAATAGCAATATTCACATCTACTGTAGGGAGGGATTTATTTCTTATTTTTGTTGAATATTAAAGGTTTTTGGAAGTAAGGCATATGTGAACAGATATGTTAACGTTTTGGACTACTAGGCAAACTCTTAACTCATAAATATGATTTTAACTCAGTTATCAATGAGAATATTAATGAGAATAAACAGTAGACTTACACTAATCAATAGTTTGGCTTTAACAAACATTGAAAATTTCTTACAATGGCACATTTATAACATAAACTTACCGACTGGATTTTCCTTCTTCAGTAAAGACCCTAATAAACCACTCCATCCCCTAAAGTGGGTTGTGCATAATTGGAAACGTTGGAGTGCAAAAAAAAAAAAAAAAATTTGGTTCCACCACAATAGAAGACTTTTCAAAAGTATATTTTAAAACAATGACACATTGATTAAAAATTGGTTTCTGTCAAACATTAAATCTTTTGTTGATAAATATAAAGCCCTAAATAACCAAGCTCCATATTCAGAGATCTGATTGTGACGTATGATCCTAACAGAGCGGTTTGCTCTCAATCCTCAGGTTTATCAGTGGTTCCTAGAAATTCTAAAGTAGAATGTGATGCAGAGCTTCTTGATTTTCAGACTCTTTCCTGTGGAACAGGACTTACAGTAGGAACCACCTGTTATTGAATTTGCTTAAACACAGCATACATATTTGATGAATGCTCAGTTTTGCTGGGAATAGAATAAAACACTTTCTAGATCAAGAAATTAAACCCAAAACCTTAGGAAATTATACAACTTTATTTCTTAGGGGAAACATCTATGACTCTTTCTTTGGAACTGTACTTTCATTTTTATGAAAAAAATGGAAGTTGAACTTTAGAATAAGCAGGTAAAAAGGAAAACAAGAATAAAATTGTTTTGCATTTTAATTGTGATAAAAAAAATTGCAGCCTCTGACTAACTAATTTGTTAATTTAGGTGGACGGAGCAAAAGGTTTGGGCTACATTGGCATAAAGGTTTGTGAAACAGCTTTCAAATCTTGGACATTGTTATAATGCATTCAATGTGGAAGTTAGCTGAAGACTTGATCTAGTCTGTTCTCTGTAAAACTATCATTGAATTATTTTGAAACCAAGTATTCTGGATTCACACTGAATGAACTGGCACTATTTTCCCGCTTTTAACTGTAATAATTATATATAATTATATACAATAAAAATACTTTACTATCTAAAGTTCTTTTTTTATTCTAAAGTTCATTTAAAGGAAGAAAAATGTTACAGTATAACTGTTCTTATGACTTTGGGCAGATCATTTTTGTTTATTCTCTAAATCTCCCTTCCCCCACATTTTTAGCCAGCAGGGAGCTCAAATGTTGAACCAGAAACTGCGTCTGCCTTCCCGACTGTTCCACTGACAGCCTATAAAAGGCACAGAGGGGGCTGAGGGAGGTCCCTCCCAGCAGCTGATGTGCTCTATATATAACTTCTTGGGCCTGGCCATTGTATTGGTTCAGAGGAGACACACGCTTTTCACTTTGTGATTTAAAGGAACTGAAGAGGTTGAAGCTGCTTTTTAAGATTTTCCTACTATTTTCAAAATGAACAAACAAAAGATTGTAAGACCAGAAGAAAGGTAAGGGATGGCTTTCTTCAAGTAAACACCAGAAAGAAGCTACTCACACTTATAGTTTTTTAAATTGCTTGTACAATATAACATATATCACTTTTGGCTCTATATCTTAACAGCCAGCCAGCCCATGCACTGTGGTTCGACAGAAAGAAATATGTTACAATCAACTTTGTTGTTCAAAAACCTAAAGATGTCCAAGTAGACATCCAGCCAGAGAAAATGATTTTATGGTGGGTATAGAATATTTTAGATATATGCTACTATCCTTATAGACTTGCTCAAACAAATCTTCTTTCTGTGATACAGCTGCAAAAATGACACAGATGATGTAATCTACAATGAGCTGCACTTTTACGACAAAGTCCAAATCAATGTAAGAATTCACTTCTCTTAACCTTGGATTGTTTAGTTACTCAATTTATAAAGTAACGCACGAATGTATTGAGTGATGTAAAACGTAAATCTAAATATTTTTAACCAATTTCAAGGACTCCAGAGAGACAGTGCGTGAACGGACCATAAATGTCTTGCTAAGAAAGATGAAACCTGATGTTGCATGGCCTCGTCTCCAGAAGGACCCAGCAAAGGTATGAAAAGTGATAAACTCCACAGTTACACACAACCCTGGTGACATGTTAGCATTGAGTAACTTGTATTTTTGATAATGTGTTGCTGCTTTTCCTGCAGGCCAGCTGGATTAATGTAGACTTTGACAATTGGAGAGACTGGGAGCATGAGGAAGATGAGGGAAAGGCAGAGTATGACCAGTATATAGATGTGAGTGGCCCCTACAATCAGCTCTGGTTATACAGCCATAACATGATGCCTTGGAAAACAATACATACCCCTCAACTGTTCACATTGTCATTTTACCATAAACATCAACCTAATTTATTGGGCTTATGCAACTAACACAAAGATGTACAGATTTAATTCATAGAATGAAAATTAAACAAAATGTTCTCCTTCTTTTACAAATAAAAATCTTAGATCTGATCTTAGATCTGCAAACTCTTTAGCGTAAACCTGTATCAGGTTTTAACATTTGTAGATTTTAAACTGTGTGAATTTGTTGCAGCTGAAGCTCAGTTAGAATGATAAAAGAATCATCCAACATTGAGTCTACCCGGAACTATCGGGCCGCAATCCAATGCTTTGTGTTGATTTACCGATGTCCCTATACCTGCAGGATGCTACTAACACCATGTTCCACTTAAAAATTATCATTTGTTTGTGTTTCTGGCCAAATTTTCCTCCAAATAGTGTTCTGTATGTAGGCCAAAATGTTAAGTTCTTCCACATGCTTGTGATCAACAATGAACAGGATGGCTTTTATGGGTTTCTTTGAAAGGCTAACAAATAAACCAAAACGACTCCCCATTTCTAAGGGGCAAACCGTTCTTCTGGTTCAATTTGCATGTCCTCTATCCAAAAACACGTTTTTGGGCTACTATATAAAGCTGAAAACTCAACACTAGTTCTGAAGTTTTTAATTGAAAAAGCTTCCAGGATGGGAATACATAATTAACTAATAATGTCCATAGATTCCCCTCTCTAAGGCGATCTCTACAGCTTATCCAGAAACACCATGGGTTTCTTTGCTGCTTCTGTTATCACTACTCAGCTTATTTTGTCCTTTTTCTTTGAAAGTACCAATGTTCAAAGTTTGTTCATTTTATGATCTAACTCTGATTTGAACTTGGTCATGATTTTCAATCTGACCTGTAAGCTGTGTTCCTTGATCATGATGTGGATGGTTCCATTAGTTCTGTAAAACCTGTCTTTAGAGAAAAAGACAGATTAAGATACACTCAGGTAAAATCTATTTCCTAACAGGGTGACTTCAAAAGGCTGCTGGCTGCAGCACATTTTGACAGAATATCTTTTACTGAACATGGTAATTGTCGCTTAATATATTTCAGGGAGTGGCGGCGTAGTCGTTAGGTCATAGAAATTGGAATCCTGAGGTTCTGAGGCTCCTACCGACTGCCACTAAAACCCTTCACCCCCGATTGCTCCCTGGGTGCCCACTGCTCCCCAAAGGGATGGGTTAAATGCAGAGTTCATTTCGTTGCTCTCTACTTGTGATAGTGTAATATAAAAAAAGCTGGAAGAAAAAAATGGAAAAATGTGGTGTACATACAAATTTTTATAAATTAAAAACATTGAAACAACTTTAAAAAACAATGTAAGATTATATATTTTTTTGTGTATTTCACTCAGTCCCATGCAGTCAAGGAAATTCAAGTTTGTATTTTCTTTTTTGTGTGTAAATGTAATAGAAACAAATCTTTAAAAATTGAATTGTATATAATATTTATGCTACCTATTCATGTTTAAACTTTTAAATATCTGGGGGTTTTTTTCCAGATGATTCAAGAAATGGCCAGCGGAAACAAAGGAGCAGCACCAGATATGGGAGACCTCAGTGATGTAAGTTCTGTAATCTGGTAGTTTTTCACATTGTTATATAACAAATGAATAGTTTGAATGACAAATTCTTTATATATATGTTTTGAACGTTTACACTGACATGTATTTATTGTCTTCTCTTACAGTCAGACTAAAACGGATGGCTCTACATTTGTTGGAGACATTTTTTTCTGTACAGTCCTTGATTTATATACACTATGCTCATTCTTGTGAAAATTATTGATTTTTTTAACAAATACATTTTCTATGTCTTTTGTTTTAAATTATGTTGAATTATGATTTACTTTTGGAATTGTCAGTGTTGTTTAGAAAATATTAACTTTTCAAAGATTAGTAAAATTTATTTGTATGTTAAAAACAGGGAGGAGATGAAATGGAGAAACAAGTTAGCCCCTTTGTTAAGTCCAGCTGGTAGCAGCATTATTTGAAGACAAAAAAAAATTAGTTTTCAAACATATAAGAAATCAATAAAAAAAAAAATAATAGCACTGGTTTTATCAAGTTTAACATTGATAACATGCAGTCACTTTAAATTTGGAAAACAGTATAAAATTAAAAATAAACTCCTCAAGTCAAAAACTGTTTGCTCTTAAATGTTAACATTTCATGTAATGTTGAAAAAAATGTTATTTTGTTATTTCAAGCATTTTCCAGTTGTTACCTTGTGATATGAACAAAAAAGCTTCTTTTGTATATTAAAGGCAACAGGGCTTACAGATATCAGCTAACCACAGTATTCTACTAAAACAATAATGACTTTAAATCAGTCTGAGTTGGACGGCAGTAGGAATGAATGTGTTCCACGCTCCGCTCGCCATGAGATCTAAAAACAGAACTGAACCCAAGGTTGAGCAAGGATTAGATAGCCATGATATTGTGGGATCCGAAGGAAAGGACAGTCCTAGAAGAATACCATTTTACAAATTGATTTGCTTGAATCAGGAACAATGAGGCACTAGTGGGATAATTTATATATA